TCATAAAATGTGGTTTTGGAGAGTTGTCTTTCTCCTCTGATCCCACCTCAGAATACCAAAAGAAACTACATTGTCTCCTTAAAGGCCTCCCTACAGCTACTCAGGAACAAATCCACACAGAAACACCTTCTGAACCCTGACCAGGATTGTTCTATCTGCTTCCCAAAATTCATAAACCTGGACACCCCGGACGTCCCATCATCTCAGGTATCGGCACGCTCACTACTGGTTTACCCTGCTACGTAGACTCTCTTCTCAAACTCTACACAACCAACACCCCCAGCTATCTCCAAGATACTACTGACTTCCTAAAGAAACTACAAAACATCGATAACCTCCCCGATAATACCATCCTTGCTACCATGGACGTAGAAGCTCTATACACCAACATCCCACATGAAGACGGATTACAAGCAATTAGAAACACTATCCTAGAGGACACCACTTCCAATCTGACAGCAGACCTATGTAACTTTGTTCTTACCCACAATTATTTCCAGTTTGAGAACAACTTATACCTCCAGATCAGCGGCACAGCCATGGGTACACGCATGGCCCCACAGTACGCTAACATCTTTATGGCTGACTTAGAACAATGTTTCCTCAGCTCCCGTCCCCTCTTACCCCTTCTCTACTTACGTTACATCGATGACATCTTTATGATCTGGATGCATGGCCAAGAAACACTGGAGACATTCCACAGAGTTTTTTAACAACCTACACCTCAATACACAAGAGATCCATTTCCTGGACACGACAGTACAAATCAGCAATGGAAAATTAGACACCACTCTACAGAAAACCCACTGACTCATACAGTTACTTACATGCTTCCAGCTCCCATCCAGAACACACCATATGATCAATCATCTATAGCCAAGCCCTTCGATACAACCGCATCTGCTCTAATTCCACTGACAGAGACCAGAAACTTCAGGATCTCTACCAAGCATTTATAAACCTCAACTACCCACCCGGAGAAATAAAAAAGCAAATTGAAAGAGCCAAACGAATACCTAGAATCCATCTACTTCAAGACAGACCCAAGAAAACCAACAATAGAACACCACTTGTCATCACCTACAACCCCCAACTTAAACCTGTCCAACACATTATCAATAAACTACAGCCTATATTGGGGCCCAGGGTGCAAACATCTCAGCTACAGCTAAAAATCAATTCAAACCAACTTCTTCTATGAGGGACATTGCCTACAGGGCTAGATCTTCAGAAAATCGTCTCCTGAAATATAATGAGCAGTGTTCTTCCTGTAACAATGTCTCGAGTTGATCTGTAGGTAACCAACCTTGGAACCTTCCCTTGCAACAAACCCTGTTGCCAGCTTTGTCCACATATTTACTCCGCTGACACCATTATTGGACCTAACCAATTGAGTTATAAGATCAAGAACACATATTCCTGCTCGTCCAGAAATATAATTTATGCTATCATGTGCCGAAAGTGTCCGTCTGCTATGTACATTGGACAAACATCTCAGACACTTCGCTAAAGAATCAATGCCCACAAAACAGATATTAGACAGGATCACAAAGAAAAAACAGTTTCTTGCCATTTCAACCAGAAAGGGCATTGTCTCAATGACTTGATTACCTGCATCCTGCTTCACAGACATTTTAACACCAGACTTGAAAGAGAATCCTCTGAACTGTCATTCTTGCTTATATTTGACACTTTACACCTAGGTCTAAACAAAGACATTAATTACCTTACCCATTACAAAGATAGCTTCCCCAATTATCACCTCTAATATCATTAGCTCACAGACATTTACTTCCCAACCCCATCCTCCTTCTGTTCTGGAATTTGACTTGTCCTTTTCATATGTGTTCATTTTTTTGATTGTATCCTTTGGTATATATGGTCGTGCCAATTTTCTTCCACTATTTGATTTGAGGAAGTGGGTCTGGCCCACGAAAGCTCATCACCTAATAAACCATCTTGTTAGTCTTTAAAGTGCTGCATAGTCCTGTTTTTTGTTCCTGGATACTGAGGAACCCCAAAGGGGAGAGCTCTAGGGCATTGCACTATCCCAGAGCAGGAAAAGAATGAAGTGCGCAAGCACATGTGCTTGACCAGGGGACACTCATGAGAGATGAATGAACCATATCACACCAGGTTACCTAGAACACAATGGGACTGATAAGCTGTGGTTGGGGCCAGCTGCTTTCATTACAGCACTACATTACAGCAGCAGGCATAGCCTGACCTGTCAGTATGAACAAAACCCCAGTTAATTCTCTGTCAAAAGTTCCTTTTTACTTTATGGACTCTAATGTTTTATTATTGCTGTTCAGGTGAAGGCTTTTGAGTTTTTCATAGACCCTCCCCTAGAACTCTCATACATGGGGTCTCTGTCTCCCTTTGCCTTGCCTTTCTCTCCTTGGTTGCTCAACATGGCTCTAAATTTTATAGACTCAAGTGGGCTGGAATACTTCTGATTTCAAGAGCAATGGGAACAGCACTAAAGGAGTTCTCAGCACTATTTGAGACACAGAAGGGTGATAGAGGGGAAGACAAATGGCCTTATGGATTATTAGTGCCTTTAAAACAAAGACTGTCTCTCTTGGAAAGGAAGTGTTCAGTGTATGCAAGCATCAGGAAGACTAGATGCCAAAAAGGCAAAAGCATTGCTCTGCTGTCAGAGAATGAATGTCTAGTAGTTTGAAGCAGGCGAGAAGAACAATCAGTACAAAGCAGATAAGCAGCTATGGTATGTCTAGTACTGAACCACATGCTCTGGAAGGCCAGAAGTGTGGGGGAATAATTTCTGTTGTGGTAGGTTTCAAGGAGAGAGAGCTAAGGGCCTGAACTGCCCACACAATGAATCTCCTATTGGAAGTATGCTATCTTCCTTGTCCCTTATGTCAGGATCTTGGTTTTAGTATCCAAATGGTAAAGTACAATTATTTGGAAAGAGACTATGTGAAAAATTCAACAGATCCCTGCATATTCCAGGGATGAGCACATTTCTACTCCCTTGTGTTCTGTTACCCGTGGGGTCCAGCACCAGGGAGAAAGAATGAGCTGATTCATATTTTTTCCTGTGCTTCATCAACAGAATTGTTTACAAGTTCCAGTTACACTTGTGCAAACCCTTTAGAGGTCCTGGGGTTGCATAAATGTAACTTGGTAGTGTGTGGATCTTGACAGAGGAGAACCTCACTACACATAATATTGGTTATATCGGTGCCATGAGAGGTGTGTGGGCAGGGGGGTGGACTGTGACTTTTTTCTGGCTGATTGGGTTTGGAGTGATGACGTTTGGCCATGTTTTAAAAGCCTGATTTGGGGGGGAGTGTCTCATGTCTGGGGGTGGGTAGCAGGTTGGGGCATTCCATAAAACAGTTCTGAAATAGTTGCTGATTTTTTTTGTACCCTTCACCCCTGACCTGTTGCTCCCTTGTGTCTCCTCTGGGCACTTCATGTGTTTAGACTCTTCAAAGCAGTGCCGGAGTTGGGCTCCCTTTGGCTGTAGACAAGCAGTTGCAATGGCTCCTCTCTAATAGTGCCCCTGGACTGGGGTCCCTCCCTCATGCCCATTGTCCTATTTCACGTTGGAGGAGGAGGAGGCTTGCAGGATCTCCTGGCCAACTCCAGCAAGGAATTGCCTGGACCAGCATGAGCTTCCCAGGAGTTGCTGAGATTTCTGTGGTAATAGCAGGGCAGGGAAGGGTGTGAGACATGGTTCTGACACATGCTATTGTGGGGAGGGCATTTTGGCTGAGCTTGGTAATAACTGGGGAAAACCAGTTTGATTTTCTTGCAGCAAGTGAGTGGTGTGGTTTACACACCCTTCTACTACTCACAGCATCCTTCAATACAGTTAAAGAAGGCAAGCCTTAGTTCTGTGTCACCCTGGCATACAGCCAAAGGGAGGGATTGATTGGTCACCTTCCTTTTACCCAAAATAGCCAAGGCCTAGGGGACTCCCAATAAAATGGAGACTATTGATTAGAAAATAAAAAGAAACACTCTTCTGCTGTGCGTAGTCAGCCTGATGAATTCGCTGGTGCAGGAGTTCACAAACTCAAATACCAGGGCTGGAAAGGGCTTGCTAAATTTGAAAGAGATATGCACAAGTGGTGTTCCTCCAGTAACAATTATGCACATTGATAATAAACAAAAGTGATTTTATTGAATATTACAAAATAAGATTAAGTGGTTGCAAGTGATAACAAGTGAATCAAAGTAAGTTACTAAGCTAAAATAAACAAAATATACCAGCTAAGCCTAATACACTAAAAGAAATTGTTACAAATTGTAATTTCTCACACTAGTCCTTATTTCAGGTACAGTTCTTGAGGCCAGAACAGATCTTTCCTGACCTTGGTCCATCTGCTTCTCCCTCCTTTCTTTGTTTCAAGTCTTTTCATGTGTCCTTTTGTGATGGGGAGCAGTCTGTGAAGTCAGCTGAAGACAGTCAGTCATTGTTTGCTTCTCATTCTTTAAGTAGAATTTCCCCAGGATGGGAAGTCTTTGTTCCATTCCTCCACTGCTGTGCAAAAACTCCAAATTCAAGATGGATCTGAGCACCAGGTGGAATGGTTACATGTCTTTGTAAGACCAACCACAGTCTGGAATTACAGGAAAAACAAGACTATTCACATATCCTTGTCCTGCGTGCTGGGCTATTAAGTTCCTTAAATACCACTAATGTTTTTCACTAGACGACTTAGATTAATAAACAGGTTTAAACTTTATATTCCTAGCTTCACATATAAGAATGATACATGCACACTAATAAAATATACATATTCAGAGGGTACTAACTCTTGATAAGTTACTTGCCCTGTTTTGCATAAAGCATGTTTGAGTTATGCATATTCATATTCAAAACCACCTTTCCATAAAAAATGTGGGGGCACAGTGTCACACTGAACTTCCAGATTCAGTTCTAATTGACACACAACTAGGAGAGGCGGGAGGAAGGGGTGCTCTAGTTCTTTCTGCAGACCTGTAAATAAATCCCTAGACAGCACTGGATGAAAGGAGCTGGAGTGGAGGTTTGGTCTTCTCAAAATCCTGTGCGGGCAGAGTGCTGAGCAAGGGTATGTGAGGAATGCAGCAGGAGACGGGCACCTCCTTGGTGAGAGGCAGCTAGCAGGGAGACTGCATCTGAATACAGAAACTTGTTTGATCTTCCCCTGCAACGCAGGACACACCCACAACTCTTCCTCAGAACAAGGCTTGGCTTTTGGAAGTCAGCCCTACCAGGTAAACATTGCAGCTGCCGAGGGAGACAGTTTCAGCAGCTTCACACTCCAGTCTCAAGTTTGACTTTGAGGGAAACCTGAGCTGAAGAGCTGCCACAGGTAGGACCACTCACTCATGTTTTGTGGGGTACCTAGAGAGAGAATACCTTTGTTCTGTTTGTCTGTCTGTCCTCCTCTCTGCCCCCACTGAAGGAAAAAGGCTATTTGTTTATAACCTGCCTGTGCTTGGATCTAGCCAAAGGCTTTTGTTGTTGACAGAAATGGACCTGAATCAAATTCCAGCTTCCAATATGCTGTGGAGCATGCAGGGCCCGTATCTGAAATCCCTAAATAATAGGCTGAAATAGCCTGGGTCCAAATGCTGCCAGGATACCAAAATGCTGGGTATGGTATAAGAAACTGAGTGGATCACAAAGGTGGGAGGGATCAGATCTGAATCTAAACTTTGTGGCTAGGGCTCAGGTCAGTTCTAATCCATATCCATTTGCATCTCCACATTGGCTGATCATTGCATTCCTTTTCACTAACCTCTCTTAAGCCACTGTTCTTCTACCTAAGATTGCTATAGACCAAGTAAGGGCTATATCTCCCCTTTGTTTTATGAACAGCAGTGGTTCTCATTGGGGGATCTGGATCCCCCTCTATGGCTGCAAGCAGGTTTCAGGGGGTTCTCTAAGCAGGACTGGCATTAGATTTGCTGGAGTCCAGGGCAGAAAAGCCTAAGCCCCATCACATAAGTCAAAGCTTATGGCATAAGACAAAGCAACTTAGCTTTGTGGGGAATAGGACCTGGGCAGTTGTCCTGCTTGCTGCCCCCAGTGCCAGCTTTTATATGCAGAAAAACAGTTGTTGTGGAGTTTTCAACAGCGTGTTGGAGGGTCCTCGGAAAGAAAAAGTTGAGGACTGTTGGGATGGATAGACATTCTAGCTAACTGATGAAAAGCAAAGCTAATTAGATCATTAGACTTGATGGGCTGGAGAGAGAGTGAAAGACTGTGGATGGATGCCTAGGAGGTGGGCTTATGAAACTTCTGGCTTGCCCTTTCTCATGCAGAGGACTATTGGCTTATCTCTGAATTAGTATGTACATTAATGCTGTTGGAAGGGAGGTACGGAACTGACAATGTTAGAGCCAGTCTAGTGTAGGCAGGCACCTCCTTCAAACCCCGCTTCTCCACTGCACCTCAGTCCTGTTATATCCTTTGCACTTGAGTTGGTAGTCTGTTTCTACGTCTCTGCCTAACAGATGATGTGGTGGGTAACACAGTCCTGCAGCCCTGTAGGCCCAGCTCACCAAAGGCAAAAGGCTCCTGAGTAGAACTCCTCAGGACCAGTGTTCCTTGGAAGCTGAGCACTTGGAGTATGTCTAGACTGCATCCTTCTGTTGGCAGAGGGATGCAGATTAGGCAGGTCGACATTGCAAATGAGGCAGGGATTTAAATATCCTGTGCCTAATTTGCATAAAAATGGCCACCGCATTTTTCAGACTCAGCACTTCGTCAGCAAAAAGTGGCAGTCTAGAGGGGATCTGTCGAGAAAGAAAGTCTTCTTCTACAGCTCCTGTAAACCTCCTTGCAGGAGGCATAAGGGATCTGTCGAAAAAGACTTTCTTTCTCGACAGATCCCCCTCTAGACTGCCACTATTTGCCAACAAAGATCTGTCAGGAAAATATGGTGGCCATTTTATGCAAATTAGGCACAGGATATTTAAATCCTTGCCTCATTTGCAACGTCGACCTGCCTAATCTGCATCCCTCTGCCGACAGAGGGATGCAGTCTAGATATACCCTTGGGTAGTCACTCAAGAGATTCAAATGCTGCCCAGCTAGTTAGCAGAGCACCCATAGCCAGCAGCATGCATTTCTACTGGCAGCGCACATCTGTACATATTTCAGTATACATAAAATGTATTCTGCCCATGAATGGAAAAAAAGGAACATTGCTCAGGGCTATTATTTTATTTTATTTTTTTCTGCCTGCACAACAACTCTAAATGAAAATTATGCTTGTCAAATGTGTCCTTCAAAAATTGGACTTATTTATCAGTAAATAAAAAAATCTGAAGCTTTTTCAATTTTCAACAATATTTCAGTTTTTTTATGAACTGAAGGTTTTTAACATGAATTTTTTGGACAGAAAATAATTTCCTTATGAAAAAGAAAGCTGTTTTCTATTGCAAAAGTTGAATATTTGCAGTTGAAAAATAGAACTGTTCATGAGGCTTCATCTATAAAATAGCTGTAATGTGCACTTGTTTGGCTGATCCCTAGATAGTAGGGAAGATGGTATTGTTACTTTTTTTTTTAATATATTGCACTCGGAGCTCAGGCTCATAGAGATGGGCATATGGTGACCATTGCTCTCCTTGTTTATAAAAATGTACTTTAGCAGTTAATGTCTCATAATTATGACAATTAAATGGAGGGCACAATGTGTTGAAATGTGCTTTAGAAATAGGTACTGTGATAATAGTAAACTCACTGGATATGGGATTGTCAGTTTCTGTTTGTGTAGTACAATGGGGTCCCAGTCCACTGAGTGACTATAAGTCAGTGTTTCTTAAACTTTTTAAGACTGAGGAACACCAAATAATTTTTTTTAATGAGGAACACCAAGGATTTTTTTGTTGAGACAAAAAAAAAAGTCACTTGTCCCTTTAAGGGCAACCATTTTGAACTTTGTTGTTCTCCACAGCACACCTCTTGACTGCCTCACGGCACACCGGTGTGCCACAGAACACAGTTTAAGAAACACTGCTATAGGTGCTGTTATAATTCATGTGTTCAATTATATCATACAGGGGTGGGGGAGAGATTTCAAGGGATGTTTCCCTTCTTAACTGTTTAACCTTGTGATTGTAAACAACAAAAATGTCAGAACTCATAGCACCCATGCATGCCTTGGAAGGGTTCTTAGGCTGGGATTTTGCCCACTCTGTGGTAGTACAAAACACCGACCTATTCAAAAGGCAGTTCTGTGCAAGACTTTGCCTGCTCTGGGTTGATCTTGAGCTGCTGATGACATAGAACTTTGGATAGATGTGCCACCCTGGCTCATCCTAAGTTTGGAATTGTGCCTCTGGCACTGGCAGAATCAGAGACTGGCATAGCCAGTAAATGCTTCAAGCCAGCTGAGCTTTTGTTTGGTTGCAAGTATAAGTACTACACAGGCAGATAGGGCAATCTTCATCCCCAAGTGCTGGCTCATATATGTGTCTCAAGCCCGGCTGAGACAGGAGTTCATTTGTGGGATCCATTCCTCCTTTAACGCTTCTGCTGCACTGACCATGATGGTGGACTTAGTGCTGTGAAAACCTGCTCACAAGCGACTGAACTAAGTCCTCCAACTCTTATCATTCCATTTCTCTGGTGCCTCAAGCTGGCTCTGGAAGGATGCTGAAGAGGTGAAAGGTTTCATCTCTCATTACCGGTTTCCATAGGAAACCAGAGGAAGGCTCTTTTCCTTCAGACCAACACGTTCCAGAGGTTAAAATCTAAAAGCAACAATTTTCAACCATCTTTGTATTTAATGGCATGGACTTGCATTCATTCACATGGCAGAGATCTTTGGAAGTAATATTTTCAGCATAAGGGAAAGCTCTGGAAGGGCTCGCCATTGGGAGATGGGCTCCCAGGTGTTGGGGAACAAGTTAATGGACTCAGCTAGTAGCAAGTGTTCAATTTGGTCAAGGCAGCTACCAGGACCATCCTTGGGATGTATGGGCCCCTATGCAATACTATTAAACTGGTGCCCCTATGCCCAATGGCAGCCTGAGGGGGAGGGGAACAATTTTTTAGAGATGTAGTTTTTATAATCTTCAGCAACACACTAATGAAATATTTGTTAAGCAAATTTTAAACTAAGGCCCTGTCAACTAACACAGAACATTTAGAAAATGACAATCATGTCCTGTGGTTGGCAAGTACCTGTGAAATGGTTTCATTACCAGTTGAACTGCTCTTTCACTGGTTCCACATTTTGCTAATAACTCTGGCGGGCTTTGTTTCTCTTAAGTTAACTAGATCCTCACCAGAGGAAGCAGGACCACGCAGCAGGGATAGGAAGAGGCAGGTGGGTGGACATTAGGACCCAGAGGTGTTCGAGATTTTCAGGTGCCCTATACAGCTGCATGTTTTGTGTATGGGTAAGGATGGCTCTGGCAGCTAGTGTTAACACTGATCAGATAACGCCCTAGTGATTGGAGATGTGCCAAGCAAAGACTGTGGCTCTCCGTGCCACTGAGCTCAACAGCAGCCACGAGTGCTTAGCACCTCTAGAAATCAAGCCACTTTGGCTTCAGCTGTTTAGTGAATGTGAAGTATGTGGTTTCAGCCCCAGATCCTCAAAGGTGCCTGTAGTGGGGCGGATTGGCCGCCCACTGAGCCGGAGGAGGAGGAACCCCTCCGGACGCCATGTTGGGCTGAGGCTAACCCCGCCCTGTCACCTGACTGGAAGCCAAGGGGCGGGCCCAGGGCTATAAAAGCCCAGGCAGCAGCCTCAGTCAGGGCTGAGCCTGCCCAGAGGCCTCTCCGGGACTCCCAGCCGGGGGAGTGGGGGCTGAGGCCTGGCCTGGGCCCCCCACCTGCGGGGGCCCAGAGGCAGACTACTGGCTCCCTGCCTGGGAAGCGGAGGCCCCGCACAGCAGCCTACCCGCCCGGACGCAACGGCGGAGCCACAGGGCCTGCCCGAACCTCTGCCCCAGCGCCTGCCCCGGGACCCGGAGAAGCGGCCCCAGCCACGGCCTCGGCTGCCTCGACCGGAGGCGCCGCCAGGGATTTCCACGGGCCCTGGCCCAGCCGCCCGACCCTGCCCGCACCGGGAGCCTCGCTGAGTCCCAGTGACCTGCAAGCGGCCACCGACTGGCCCGGACCGCCCCGGTGGGACGAGACTCTCCTGGACTCCTGCCTCCACCGCTGGACCCCCAGGTACTGCCCGAGGGGGAGAACGGAAGTGGCTCAGGGATGGAGGGGGCTGTTAAAGGCCCCTGGGCTGGAGCCTCCGCTGAGCCGAAGCAGCCTGCACTGCTGCCCTAGGGCCCTGGGCCTGCGCCCCCCCTGCCACCCACGTATTGGGTGGCAGCCTCCCCCTTCGCCACTGCC